TCTCCTTCATCCATCATTATTCAAATAACCGTTTGAATGGCATCCCAAGTTGCAAGACGGAGTCCAACGTGTCAACATACGACGTTATCTTCTTGCCACGTGATGCAAAAACCGATTTCATCAGTTAGAAATCAAACACAATTTGATCAGGCATGGCCCTAATTTCTTCCTAACGAAATCTCACCCTGAAACAAACTCTAGAATTCAATTTGGGAAAATTACTTCTCTTCCAAATTTCAAAATCACCACATCAGATGATTTCCAATCTCTAATTTCCCATCCTTTAATCATCCCTCATCATCCCATAACGTGAACCCCCAAAACGCAAAGGAGAAAATCAACGAAACCCAACCACTTCCGTACACAGTGAAGATTAATATCAAATTGAGGGCTATTATATTATATATGTGAAAAGTTTCAAATTGAAGGCTGTTTGTTATATATATGAAATTTTTACATACGAAAATTTGATCACATTTTGGTGATGAATTTATAATTGGTTTTTGTTAGCATCTCTATATTATTATCTATTTATTGAATCAACTATCGATGTTGAACACAGTCCATGTCCATTGTGAAGGTCAGATGTATTCAGCAACCGCAACTGTATCGTGGAAGCAGGACATAATATGTAATCCTTTTTGGATTAGTTTCATTCGACATAGTATGGTTACTTTTGGATCCTGGTTAATCTCTATAAGCCTTTATACTCTGAATAAGCCGAGCTAGAGAGGAAAAGAAACAGAAAGTGAGAGTACCCGAATATTGCAATGCTATCAACATGTGCCAACTAGAGTTCTGAGTTTTGACATTGATTCTCCCAGTCCTATTTCTGATTAACATTTTTTATCTTCTGCACAGTATTTTGAGGAAGCTAGAATGAAAGTGCAAGTCCAAACCAAGGCACACACAGCTAACGAGAAATCAATGGCATTTAAAAGAACCTTGAGATGCCATTATTGAAGCAAATTTGTTGTGTCTGGATCAAAAACTAAATACTTGATACAAGCTGAGACGGATGGCCTGCTTAATGCCATTTTTTTGTTCCTTGAAGAACTGAAGTTTGCAGAACCAACTAGACGTTCTGCATTACTTATTTTTGATAAATGATAGTAATTTTTAATAATCGAGTTGTAGTATAGGCAAGTCTTCTAGTTATAGTTGAAAAACCATTGGTTTTTCTGTAATGTTATGTATTTCAGCATGGTGCAATAGTATTGTTGAAAAACCAGTTCTAGCATCTTGTTTTATGTAAATAATAACCATTTGAAAAATCAATTGAGTTTCAATGGTAGATACCAGCATCTTGTTTTCAATGATGTTGTAGGAAGGCTGTTATAACTCAAAATAAGAATAACCCAGAAACCTGAACAGAAAGACTCTTCAAACCAAAATCAATGAATGATCATTAACATCAAGAGTTAAATGTTTTTGGGCTCAAATATACATTGTACTCTTCTATACAAACCAAAATCTCCACATAACCATAACCCTAATTTCAGAGAAACAGAGGCAGCTATTTCTATAGACCAAGAATGACCACAAAACTCAAAATCTTACTCTCAAACTCTAAACAAAACGAATCACAAAGACTCAATCACACAGATTTTCCAAAAACCAAAAGTTTTAAGGTTACACAAAGTAAAAACGAGAGAGAGGAATGAGAAGAGACTCGAAGAGAGAACCCAAAAGGTTTTTAAGAAATCAGAGAGTCAAAAGTGACGATAGGGCAACCACTCTGGTTGTTTCATACAAGCCAGCATCACCGTGGATCATTAAGTGGTGATCTACATTTCAGAGCAACACACATGTCCCCTTTATTTGGGATTAGGTATGGGCCCATTTGGATTTGAGTTATCAGACAATGGATTTGGTTTAGAGTGGGCTTTGCCAATTATCATCATCGCCCAGGGCTGGATTAATTGGCATCACACCAATAAAGGCCATACATGGAGACACATAGCAACTACCATGTGTGTGACTTGTTTAAGAGACTAAAACACAATCTACTTATTTTCTTGCAATACAACATAGTCTTACTAAGGAATCCTTGACATTATTTACAACAATGATCCAGTATTGCTACTAGGAATTGGTCATATAAATAGGAAATAATGATTCATTTTAACAACTTCACATTTGTGGAAATAATGAGAAAGAAAACATTTATCATACAACTAATAATAGGCCATATTTTCATAAAAATAATAGAGAGGGCTATTGTTCTTATATGTGCCACAGACATACACATATGCACCCTTCATTACTCTTGTCTTTAAACAAAACAATCATCAGCCTTTCCTTGCATAGCCAGTCTTTTGCAATCAATTAGTAAGTCACCAATCAAAGATCAGCTCCTTCAATATTGGTTTCAAGAAAACTTTGTAGAGCACTATCCCTTGGCTCATCTTGTGCTTCTTTCAAAACTGTGTTTTACTCATTTGATGATGATGTTTTCCACAGAAGAGTTGGCCGTGGTGATGCAAAATTGATGGCAACATCTTTCATTTCTTCTCGGGCTGCCATGGGTGCAAATTATCATTTCCTGGTCAAGAAATCGTGATGGACTTCATGAATTTATTGTCCCAATTTATTATATCTAATTTTCTAAATCTTTAGAAACACTTATCCCTATTCACGTACAATAGTAGAGCATAAATTCTATTAGAAAATAGATGTTAACACTAACCAGCAGGTTTCTACTCTGCATAAAGGACCTAAATTTGTAAAATCATTTAATCACGAGATTCATATTACGGGCACAGCTGCCCAAGACTTGCCTCTAATCTGCTATAAATTAACATTCTTTTCAGACCAATATGTATTTAGCTACATTAAGACTCCAAAACAACTAATAATTAAATTCAGGAGTAAACTAAATGCTACTAAAGTAAAAGCCTAAGCATATGGTACAAGAACATATTTTCAAAAAATTAACCAATTCAATTCCAAGAGTAAAGCAACATCACCAACCCCAAGAACTTTCATTATACACTTCATCACATACTAATTATCCTCAGAATTTGGCATTTGTAAAGCATTAAAAATGTCTGCCATCGAAGAGATGAAAAATAACGTTCAGACCTCAAATTGGTTATTGAATCAACCACAAATATGACAAATGAAGGTAGCTTGCACCAACAAAACAACTGATTTCAATTTCTTACCCAATCAAATTTGGGTTCCTTGTATTCTTGCAGATTCAATCGCAATGGGGGTTGGGAGATTAAGGTTCGATCCAGGGGGACGATTTAGGTTTAGGAATGAATCGACTCTTACATGGCCTTATGAAGACGCTGTCCACTGCCGCGTATGACTCCGTCTTGCCACCTCAGACGACTTCCAAACGACTGTGTAGGTAGTGATGGATGGAGGGAATGGGTTGTAAGTTCAGTTACCTCGCAGTGGAATATCATAGTTGAGTTACTGCAACTTGACAATATGTAAAGTTCTGTAATTAATGAAACTTTTTTCTCATTAACCTTGGTGTTGGGTTTTTGATACCTAAAAATCCCGAGCAATAATCTTAAATCGATGTGGAATAAATTAATTATCGACACTCAAAATTGAGGACCTGACCCTAAAACTATTTGGATCATTGGAAGCAATCTAATTAATTAGTGTTGCTCATGGCCCAGCTTTGACGGCTTATATAGGTTGGCCCACTTAACATCTTTGTATTGGACTTGGCCCATATATTTGACCTAACCTAAACCATATAAGCTAGCCTCCTTTGTTATTGTAACTTACATGTGTTTTGTCTTGCCTTGGAAGAAAACTCTCTACCTCTTTGCTTTGTGCTCTCTCGGCTAATTTTCTTCTTGTTTTTTCATAGCCTTTGTGGCTAAAAACACCATCCTTATTGTGTCCATAGTGGATACAAGGTAAAGCAACCGGAGTGTGGAAGAAAATTTGAGGTTTGAGTCATGATTTCGTTGGATGTTGTGAATGTTGAGATTGGTATCCTAAGCCCGAAAAATTCACAATTGAAGGTCGATTATTCAACATTTGGAATCAGAGCGAGGTTGGGGTGGAATTTTCGGCCAAAATCTGACCAGAAACGCAGTAGAAAACTGTCCAGAAAATCTGTTCAAATTTTTTTTACAAAAAATCGGACATGCAACCTCAATTTTTGGCTAATCCAGATGTCTTTTGGTAAAACGGAGGCAGGATTCGTGATTTGCCTGGTTCCCAACAAATTCACATCCAAAAACCAATATACGCATACACTTACATCTTTAAGCTTTTAACTAAATCTTGAGTATGGTTTCTTCCCGTTGGTGTGTATCGATAAGAGCATGGCGTAACACAGAACTAGTGGATCATAATGACTCTTCATCAACAATGAATACTCGCCTGGAAATCAATTTTCGAATCATAAAATTCTTGGTAACTCAAGAACAAGGAGTTATAATGCAAGAACAAGGAGCAACGATGTCAAGATTCATTCAAGTTGATTTTGGAGCGGTTCATGATGAGTTAAAACAAGTTCTGTTGCCACAATTCGCCAATCTAATTGGATCTCAAAGGTTTCATCATGAAGTTGCAGATGGTTTAATTGACTATGCAAAAACCAGACATATCACGGGCTCGGCAAAATCATTAGTTATTAGAATAAAGAAGTTTCTTATTTACGATAGAGTTGAACGTTGGTTTGAGTCCATAGAAAGTGATCGTCTCAACATGGTACCTGCGAGCATGGATACAATCACATCATTGCCGGAGAAAGAGATGAAGTACGAGAATGATGATGCTGAAGTTGAGTTATGTACAGTTTGCTTGGAAGAGATTCCGGCAGGGTTGGTCATCTCAACTCTGCCGTGTTCTCATGTTTTTCACAACAATTGCATTAGAGATTGGCTTGTGAGAAGCCACCACTGTCCTATTTGCCTCTTTGAGATCTCTACTGCGCAGTGAAATATGTCAATCTTTTCTTCTTATGAATTTCTGACTAGGGTTCATGGTTTGTGTTTGTGTTAATTACTTAATTAATAATGAGATTATATATTAAGCCCAAGTATTTCATGACAATGCAGTTACAATATATTAATTTCTGTGAATTGACTACAGATGGAGTTCATAATGCCTGTCATATCCTATCGATTGTGAGTAACATAAATTAATTGCATAAAAGAAAATTGACCCAAATTGGAGTTGTCGATTCTAGCCTAGTGGTTAGTAGGTGATTGGGATCAGCGGCGGAGCCAGCACCCGGCGAGGGGGTGCGGCCGCGCGTGCTGGCTCCGCAGGAGTCTTCAGTGGCTGTCGGGACCGCCGGGTTGGCAGCAGGTGCCTGCACGCAGTAATTGCAAACCGCGAGTGGAAGAAGACGGCCAGTTTTGAATTTTTTTTTTTATTTTTTTTTATTTTTTTGCTGATCTAACCGGAAATTGGGTCTTTTCTTTAAACAAAAAAAAAATTAGGCCCAAATGAGGAAATTGAATCCAATTTTCCAATCCATTATATATTGGTATTATCTCGTTTTCCCCTATTTGAAACGGCAGCAAATAGCAAACCCTTGGTCCCTCACCCTTCAATTTTCATATTTCCATTCGAAACAATAGCAGTAGCTGGAGGCGGTGACCGTGCGCTGGTGTACGAAGTCTCAGAGGTGAATCTTCGACGGACTCCAAGGACTAGAGAGGCGACTGGCGTCTCGCGCGGCCGAGCAACTGAGCGAGCAGCCAGCAGTGTGCAGTCAGCAGTGGTGATTGGTGAGTTCAATACTTGAAGTTGAAGATTTGAATATTTGAATTGTTTTGGTTGTCTCACTTGTCTGTAACTCTATAGTCCTTGTTGTCTGTTTTCCTTGTAAGGTTGATAACATGTTGAAAAGCACATAAGCTGTGAAATTTGTGGTTGAATCTGCTAGAGATGTTCAATAATTCCTGTTAGTACCACAAGAAGCTGGAACCCATTAAGTGTGCCCTTTGTAGTGAGCTTAGGAAATTCTAGTGGACAAATAGAGTTAAATATAAATGAGATAGGAATTCTACCCAGAAAAAAGCTGTTAATGCATTGATGAATTACTTAGTGTTGAAGAAATACAAATGCTATTACTATGGGAAAGTTATTCAATGCATGTATGTGACATTGAATTTGACAAGACTTTGTCCAATTAATGAAGAAATTTAGTTAAAGACGTCCTTGAAAGATCTTCATAAAATTTAGCCAAATATTTTTCTTCTTTTCATAAGGGACACGTACATATCATCAGAAATCAAAATAAGATCACATTGTTATCATATGGCGCAAGCTGATGAGCATATTAAGGAAACTCTATGATGCATAGGAGCAAACAAATAACATTCTATTCGATTATCAAAATATCCCTTTTTATTGTTATCATCAACTCTTTTATAGTAAAGTCCCTTCAGCTTGGACAATAGTTTTTTGGGGATTTCACCTTAGTAAAGAGTGGGACTTCACATTGCCTCTAAGAATGTATAGCTGGACATTAGGGTGTAGCATTATTTGAAAAAATTTCTACTATATTTGTTGATTTGTGCTTGTGCAACTGCAATTTGTCGACCCTTTGTTATTTGTTGACGGTGTTGAGAGTTGAGTTGAGTGTGCTGAGCACTTGGGTGACTTCAATATGTTGGAGATTTGAGTGTTGATTGACTTGAGACTTGAGTGTTGAACATTTTAGTGCATTTACATATATATCGAACAATTTTTTATATTATTTAATCAAATTTCAATATGATGGTTGATAATCGACAGTCAACGATCAATGTCAAAGTCAACGCCCTAGCTGAACGTGGAACCTAGATACGTCCCTGTAGGTATGGTGTATGTTTCGGTTCAAAACACGAGGTAAGGCCTGTGATACTAATTTTATTGAATTACCTTGATTGTGCAAGTTTAAATTTTGTGTTTTGGTTGCTTGCAGATTATTAGGCATCAAAGTGTAGATTGTTGGGTTTTTGATACCCAATAATCCCGAGAGATAATGTTAAACAGATGTTGGATAAATTAATTGTCGACGTCCAAGATTGAGGACCCGACCCTAAAACTATTTGAACCATTAGAAGCAATCTAATTAATTAGTATTGCTCATGACCCGGCTTCCATACTCATTGAACGGCTTATATATGTTGGTCCACTTAACCTCTTTGTATTGGACTTGGCCCATATACTTGACATAACCTAAACTATATAAGCTAGCCTCCTTTATTATTATAACTCACGTGTTTTTTGTCTTGCCTTGGAAGAAAACTCTCTGTCTCTTTGCTTTGTGCTCTCTTGGCCGATTTTCTTCTTGTTTCTTCATAGACTTTGTAGCTGAAAATACCTTCCCTTTTGTGTCCATAGTGGGTACAAGGTAAAGCAACCGTATTATGGAAGAAAGTTTGAGAAAAAAATTACTATAATTTAAATAAATAAATAAATAAAACATGCATAACCATTTCGTGCATGGAGTTACTTTTTTTTTTTAATTATAGTAATTTTTTATTAATATTTAATTTTAAAAAAATTATATATATTTAAATATTTACTTAAAAATGTTGAAATTAATATTTCTTTTTTCTATAAGTAACTTTTACAATTATAAGTTTTTTTTATTACTTTTAAATATTTTGAAGTGATTTTTTTTTCATTTTGTGTAAATATTTAGATATATTAAATTTCTTAAATTAAAGATTAATAAAAAAATTACGATAATTTAAATATAAAAAAAAACATGCATAATCACTCCGTGCATGGAGTGATAACCACTCTGTGCACTGAATTACTTTTTTTTTTAATTGTAGTATTTTTTATTAATATTTAATTTTAAAAAATTAAATATATCTAAATATTTACTTATAAATGTTGAATTAATATATATATTTTTTTATCTATAAATAGCTTTTACAGTTATAAGTTTTTTATTACTTTTAAATAATTTGAAATGATTTTTTTACTTATAAGTAACTTTTTTACATTCTAAATAGTGTAATCTTTTTATTAATATTTATAAAGTAATTTTTGCAATTATAAGAGAATGTGGGATTAATATTTTTTACTTATAAGTAGCTTTTATAATTATAAGTTTTTTTTATTATTTTTAAATAATTTGAAGTGCTTTTTTACTTATAAGTAACTTTTTTACATTCTAGATAGTGTAATCTTTTTATTAATATTTAATTTAAAAACTAAATATATCTAAATATTTTTACTTAAAAAATTTTTAAGTTAATATTTTTTACTTTTGTCACATTAATTTTCACATTGAACTGGTTTGATTCTTTGAATCTGACACACAATACTATTTCTTCATTTTCTCATGCTATCAACTATCAACCATATCCTATAATTTTATTAGTAGTAATATTTTTTAAATAATATTTTGTCACACTGTAATTTTTTTTTTTTTTTAAATGGTGGAACAGAAACGACTTCATTTTTTTATTTTACCCGTAGCATACATGCTTTGAAGAGGGATAAATAGTACTCTTTTGCCATTTTCTCACGCTATCAACTATTGACCATATCCTGTAATTTTATTAGTAATAAATTTTTTAAAATAATTTTTTACATAAAAGTTATTCTTTATTTTTAAAATGTAAAAAGTTATTTATAACTAAAAAAAATCACTTCAAGTTATTTAAAAATAAAACGAACTTATAATTGTAAAAGTTACTTATAAGTAAAAAATAATAACTTAAAATTTTTTAAGTATCTAAATACTTATAAGTAAAAAAATATTAACTTAAAATTTTTAAGTATAACTATGTAGATATATTTAGTTTTTTTTTAAATTAAATATTAATAAAAAGATTGCACTATTTAGAATGTAAAAAGTTACTTATAAGTAAAAAAATCACTTCACGTTATTTAAAAGTAATAAAAAAATATATAATTGTAAAAGCTACTTATAATTTTAAGGAAGTATTAACTTCAATATTTTTAAGTAAATATTTAAATATATTTAATTTTTTAAAAATTAAATAATAATAAAATTTTACTATAATTAAATTAAAAAAAACTCCATGCAAGCAAAAAAAAAAAAAATTTAGCATTTTGGAAATTTTTTTCTTATTTGTTTATTTTGTAATTTGTTTTGTTGATATTATAGATAATTTTTTCTATTTAAAATTTTTATAAATTTTTTTTCTCTTTATTTGCGATTGAACTTAATTTTTTCAATTATTTTTTTCTCTCTATGAAAGGAAAAAAAAATTTTGATTTAAATTTTTTTCAATTTTAATTTTTTTCAATTATAGAAAAAATATAAAGTAACCTACCATCTATCACTCTTTCAAGTCAATCATTCTCCTTCCTTCAATTCAATCAATTTCTGTTCAAAAGTTCAGCTTTCATGTATGAAAAAAAAAAAAAAAACTCTCCAAATTCTAATTTCTTTCTGTGGGGAAAAAAAATCTTGCAGTCCTCATCTCAATCATAGGGAAGAAGTCGTAGAATTTGTGACAATTATTTTTGGGTATGTTCTTACAATTTTTTTTTTGTTTCTGTTTCTTTTTTTTTTAATGATTTATTTAAGGTATGTAATTTTTATTTTTGTGTATAGATGAAAATCTAGTTTGACTCATCTTCCTCTACCTAGATGTGAGGTATGTTCTTGTTTCTGTATATACGTGAAAATCTAATTGAAATTTTATTTTTTTCTTGGATATGGCTATGAAGTTTATGTTTTTGTTGGATGTTTGCTTTCTTGTATATTTATTTATTATTTTCTTTGGCTTTATTTAATGTAATATATGTTTTTTTTAGTGTGTAAAAGTTAGCTAGGTTTTTCTTTCTTTACCCTTATCTACTTGAGACGTATAAATTTTTCAATCATTATTATTTTTTATTTAATGAGGCTTACAAGAGTTTGCTTTGGATATGTTTGGAGTCTTTTTAGGCAAGTTAGTAGTATTTATAGTTCTTTTGTTGTTTACATTTGTAAAGAAAATTGTTGATTTGTT